GTTTCAATAAATTTTAAAACTATATTTGGCCACAAATATGAAATATAAACTATCGTATACTCAGTTTGGAAGTCTAGACGATAAAAGTCTTATAAAAGTACACATAACAGAAATTTCACATGTGTATCCGGTAAAATAATTGCGAACGAATTCAAGCACATACATATAGTAACAAATTAACGTATCTATATATACATATAGTTAATTTGGCAGAGAGAAGAACATTAAAAAAAACTGTATAAGGAAGAAATGATAAAACTAACAAGTTATGACTCATTAGTCTTTGCAACCTGCAAATAGTTTGCCTCAAAGTCTTAAAATGCTTTGATTTTGGAAGTGTTACATGTTTTAGTTTTGAGAAAGTCAACTCATGGACTCGAACACGTCTAAAAGTGTAACAGTTAACCACATCCAAAATCAACTAGTACGATAATTAGTTTTATTCATCACGAATTTCATTCTTAGATCATGTTGTATGACACGCATTACAAGTATGTAGTAGGACCACATGGAAACCAAGCCCATGAATAATAATGTTTAGAATATGATGTCGCAGCAGTCTTTAACTTTGGCATTATTTCAAGTAGAACAATCTGATTTTGCTCGCAATAAATTTTCGAATGTACGTAATAGACGTACGAATGAAATTATAATTCATATTGGCATAGTACATTGTTAACACCAACGTTTCCAGCTCTAAACAAATCGAGAAGTATGCATGATAGAACGAAATTTTATGATCAACAAAATTACACGACTAATATTACACTAACAGATTAAGAACAATTGACTAATGTTTCATTCAAACTCTAACACAAACGACATAAACGATCCACAGAATAAATCATGCTAATACCAATTGATTGCTATAAAGTTTTCAAGTATTATTCGAAATAAATAAGTATTTTATTGTAACAATGATGGTTCATGGGCTTGGCTGTTCATTGTTCGACCAAGTCAACATTCATCATCATTCATACAAAATGATAACCACGTCGCCAATTAATTCTTAAAAGTCAAACATTGCTATCTGGTTTACTGGAAAAACCTATTGGTTGAGCATTTTCAACAAGAGTGGCCTGCATACTTGATGAAGGAACCTCTATGTTTGTCATTGCTGATCTCATTTCATGAAGAGGTGCCCTACAAATTACACATGATTAAAATATATCCAATTTTCTATTATATTATAGAATATTACCTAATTCTAGGTACTCAAAATATTTAATCGTATTAATCTATAAATGAACTAAAATGTAAATATAACTTTATCACCTAAATCTAATATGTTACTTTCATTATCTAATCTTAACGTACTACTGTTATTACCTAAATCTACAATTATGGAAAATTACCAATTAAAATTACGAAGCTTAGAAGGTAATATTCGATGCGAATGTGCGACAACAGTTGCAGTTCAAGTATTTCGAAACACGTAAATAGGCGTTTCTCTTCTACATATAGGGAAGAACAAATAATGACATGCAAATTGCGCGATTAATCTGAATAAAACAGACGTGTTTAACGTGTACAAGAACAATACACACATACGTCGTTAGTACAGAAGAATCCAAAGATACTTAATGTTATGCTGGAAACGGATACAATTATTTACATAGAAATTTTAGAGGGTTAAAATTAAAAATTAATTTTCTCAAGCGTAAACATTCATGAACATAATATATTTGCACAACCACAGGGCTCACAATTTGTGTGTTACTTTGCAAATTTAAACACGTGTTGTAAATAAGAAAATTCTTTAGCAAAATATCATGGAATGGTTTGATGAGAAGTGCAAAGCAGTAGCATATAAATGATATAAGTATAATATAAGTCAAACATATATTATTAACTCTATCAACTCTAATAGAACTGTAATGTAGCTAGATATTAAAAGAATTTAAGCAACGTCTAGAATACTAAAAATGTAAGAATAAATTTTAAACTTTATATATTATTGCCTGGTTAGTGAAGTGGTGCAATGAATGTTTGATGATTTATGAACGCCTCCAGTCATCAGGATCCTCCACGAGAGTCGCAGGGTGATCTGTAGTAGGAGGTACAGTACCCTGCGGGGAACCCATACCCGACGTCATTCCTGCTTGGTCGGGCCTGGATCCTCTGTTATTATTAGTGTATTAGTAAGAACATTAGGAATTATATTTATCGGATATATTATTGTTACGTATCATTGTAATTTAATAATCCATACTACGCAAAGTATGTTAAGAAAATTAAACAAATAATATCGCAGTTTTAAACGATCACAGTAAAACGCCATGGTGAATAGTGTTAGTAGTTTCATACACAGTGTTCCAATTTGTCTAGATGCACGTTCGCAACGTGTGTTTTCAGGATTTGTTAGTCCAAACTTGAAACACTATGTATACAATAGGAGGTACCCAAAACCCGTAGCAACAAACTCAAACAAATACAAACAAACATGAGGTAATATGAACAATTACTCTTCCACCTAGAAGCAAACGACATGTGCACATATTATTGCACAACACACTGCATAGTTTGTTTAGCATAATTGAACAGAAAGTATAAAAACGATTAATAAAACCGAACTTCAAGAAAAAATCGTGTTTATCTTTATGTAGTAATGATTTATACCTGTAAAGGTATGTTATTAAATAAACTTCATACTTTCCTTATGGATAATATTTCTTATAATGTTACGAATGAAGTAATTGCCACTTACTTTCGACCAAGCGACATCAATCCATATATTACACCTGTTGCAAATATGAGGCCACTGCCAAATAGACTACTCATTCCTAAACACAGGAAGACTGGTGGAAGCGCCATCCTGAAATAACAAAGAGACGCTATACGCTTAATCTATAAGAGAAACTGTACAACATTGAAACCGAAGATAAATATAACAGTGAATAGTAAAGAGAAATATCTGTTAAGAGAATATACTTACAAACAATACGCCGCTGCTCTATTCCAATAGGGTCTCTTCTCCACCCAATCACTTAAGTTTTGTACAAAATCAATAAATAGGCAGCAACATGGTGCTTCTATCATTACAACTACAAAACCAGCCACCATCTGCCACATACCGCTAATCAGGCAATCTATAGAACCCAAGAGTATCGCTACACAATTCCATGCTCCAAGAAAAATTGCAACTGCAACAAATCGATGGGAATTATTATAAGAATGAACATGGAGGCTTACAAACTATAGATCCTAATCGCTATGTGTTTCCTTTGTATCCGTTGCAAGTATTTTAAATACAAACAAGTAATTGCAGCATTAAATAAATCAACATAACCAAATATTAATTTCATTTTCTGGAAGATGAAAATAAAGAAAAAAGAGAGAACTTACAAGTTTTAAATATATATATATATATAGATATATACGTATGTATATATATGTTTATCGTCTAAATATTGTAAATATTATAAATCTAAGTTCGATCGTTATATGCATTTCGTTACTATATAAAATACGACAATAGATCGGTAACGTGATGGCGAAACAAATCACGTGTCGCAACGTGTATTATTTTGGAAAACGTACTCAGACTCCCTACAGTGCCGAGTCCTCGCCCAGCATATTTCATCCACCAAGGTACATCGTCCTTGGCAACAGGATCCTGCCCTGGTCTCTGCATAATCGTCATTATTTTTTCAGACCACGACTGAAACAGCAAAGAACTTGTCACTTTTAAAGCCACACGAATATATACGAGCGATCATGTTCTCACATATTTCAAACATATTTACCATTTTGATCGTTCCACGATCCTCTTCTTCGCCAGCTGACAGAACCAAATAGAACTGACAGCACTTCAAGGATCTGTTGTTGTACAGAAAATCGACCCGTGAGTTTCTTAATTATGTGGGCAGAGGCGCTTCCATCTGTCAACGATTTTAGTTCTCACGTGAAAATTCTCAATGGCTGGTTAGACACTGCCAACGTTCACGTGGTTGAACGTAACCTCTTACGTCTACCAATCGGCACCAAATAAATATTAGAAACACCAATAAGGTGTAGTTGCTTCAAAAATCGCGACCAATATGTTCTTATGTACAAATATAAATCACCCTTCCCCATTCATTTCCAATCGGTCTCATTAAATTAAACGACAAATTAAATTAAAAATAATAATATACGCTAACAATAATTACTCGTTACATAGAAAGCATGCGCTGTTGCACTCAAAGTCCAACGGAAAAAATATTCTTGTCTCTATATAGAACAGTCGTACCAGTCAGGGGATTCACATAATGACTATTCATCAGATTATTGCATCAAAAACTTACATATGTTTATACGAATACGAATTACATTAATAACAACGTTTATGTAATGTTTTTATTGGAATCAGATTCATGTTGTATATTCAGTAAAATCGTCCATATAAACGCGTTTACTTGATCTTGGCGATAATTCGTCGGTCGTCCCATCCGGATTGTTATTTACTGTTTCCTGTAACACGCGGTTCCTGAGCCGCTTTATGTGTCGCAAACGTTCTAACCAATTAGAGGCATACGGATTGTGACTGTTTTGTTCTAGAGACGACGAAACCATTGAAGCAAGCTATATGAGGATAAAATAATTATAAAACATTGAACATTATGAAACTACATTAGAGCAGTTATTAAACAGAGCACTTACATTCGCATGAAGAGCAAGCTGCCGTGATAAAATTGCTAAATTTTGGTCTGAAATTATTTTAGGTTCGCTGTGCCGAATATGTTTCGCTAATTCTTCTTTCACTTGAACTGTAACTTGATTGGTACCGTGATCCAAGGGCTGAATCACAACACACGCGTAATTAAATTGCCCCTAAAATTAGGAAGGTTGAAGTAATATTATATCTCAATTAGAAGCACCCGTTGAAACGCATACCTTTACAGTTTGTATGTTGTACGATTCGCCAGATTCGTTGTACACCACGGTAACGTAATTATTCCCGATGTGCTGCTTTTTGGAGGTACATTTTGGGTCGCTCGGTTTAGTCGGCATCAAAGTAGCCACGTGAAACGCTACCTGAAAAGATTTTCTTAATTCGCCTTTAAACATTTCAAATGATCTACAAATGAATTTACGTTGAGCATTGAAAGCAGAAAACGAATCTCATCCACGCCTGAAAATGCAACAAACCTGTGTGACATCGTCTTGCCAGATATACGCGAAGTTACCGTTTTCACCGTTGCGATCTAAACCTCCCAGAAATACGCTTTCATCGACGTCCTTTAGTCGGACCAATGTCCCTAATCGCTGCAGGAACTCCGTGTACCGAAGGGATCCATGCTGATTAGCCAGAATTTCCACCTCGTTGGACGCTTGTCCGGGTCCAACGTAAAGAACCCCGATCTTATGGGTTTCGTACGGCTGTATCCTATCTAAATTCGTTACTGCTCTCTGCACGGCTGTCGTTTGCGGAACTAACAACGGTTTTTCTGAAGGCGAGCCGAAGTGCGCTGTATGGTATAGTTGTAAGAAAACAAAACTGTAATGCAAGCGTTCAAAAGAAACTTTAATAACTTGTCACGACGAAAACAATTGATAAATATTAATTGCCCGGGTATTCAGTGCAAAATACATACCTAGGATTAATACCTGCTTTAGGGGGATCCTTCACACGTGGCGAGTTCCCTCTGCGTATGTTATCCCATTCGCTACGAGATTTTTTCACGGGACTCATCACGGAAATCGTATGACCTCTATCACGGAACGGTAGTGGCAAAGGAGGTAACATGGACGGATCTGGCCTTTCATCCTTCTGTTAAACATAACGGGACCGTACAATTTCCAACGAGTAAGAGGAACAAGGAAAATATCATTGGTACGAGACGATACTTTGTCCCCAAGGTGGTTTCGTCCAATGGGTGGTTTACTCTCTGATCCTGTCGCTGCTTGCTTCTGACCTGGCTCGAGACTAGATAACCGAGGATAAGTCTGAGTGGGTGATTGCGGAGGCTTTGCAGTGGATGATTGTATTTGCGCGGTGCGTGCTTGTACCCCTAAGAAGTTTCCTTGTACCTACGAAAACGTGTTCAGTGGAATTTTGTAAATTCAACTTATGCTACAATTGTGAACGTTGTTTGTTCCAAGACAGCAAGTACCTGCAGAGTGGTTGGCGATGGCGGAACGGTATTGCTGGTAGTCGTGATAACCTGAGTCACTTGCGTTGCTCCTGGATAAGAACGTTGAGACCTCAACGCAGACGGATGATCCGACGTGTTCTCCGAAGATGGGGGTGTCGTGCCCATGCCGAATATCTCTTCTGGTATAGCTTCGCAACTGACCCTACGAAATTCGAGTAAATCAGCATTTTAAGCCGAGAAGGAACTAGAATAATTCTGAAGGAAATACCTCATGTCCTTCGCGTAGGTGTTCTTCGCACGGTTCTTCAGTTCCGCGTCGAGTTTAATCTCCAGATCCCCGGATGAAAGTTCTCGGTCCGCTTGTTGCAGGTTTAATTTATCCTTATTTAAAAACGGATTCTTCCAATTAGCGCTCATCTCGGGACTAGAGTTTGATCTGCGCACTGGATTCCGGGAACGGCGTAGATCTGTCAACAACCGTTACCCTTTAACAGTCCAGTGTTTCTATCAATTGTCGTCAGAAGCTTTCATACCATCGTCACCGTCGTCTAAACTTTCCAAACTGTCGCGCGAGCTTTGCCTGGAGGGATTTGGTCGAGCAGGTGAGCCTGGTATCGCGATTGGACCAGACGACGTAGAAGATGCAACAGGTTTTAACGTGCTACCGTGATCGATCGATGCTTGATCTTGGTTTTTATCCGCAGTGTCCTGCGAAAAGTGTTGTATCACAATACTGAAACGTCTTCCAATAATTGTTCGTGTTTATGTTACCTCTCCTTCATCTCCAGAATATTCTGACGTTGACTCCTGTTGCTTCTGCGATATATCCTGGGTCGGTCTGTACAATGCCAGTATGTCGTGTACAGGGAAATCCACGTGCGACTCGAATTGCGTAGAATTTTGAATCCTCATTATCCAAGACATGTCGCCTGTAGGTCTGCGCACGTATATCTCGGCCCAGCCTTGACACCAACAAGCGCAAAGCACATGTTCCTCTTGCTTCTGGCTGTTGAGTATTTGTTCCAACTTCGAGGATTCGGCGGTTTGCTCTTTCTCCGTTTTCTCCGCGGGATACTCCCTTTTCGTCGTCTCCAAATCGTCCGACGTTTTCTTTAACTCTTCTATTGGAGAATTCGCAGCTGTGTTGCCTGTGGAGCTAGCATGACCCCCGGAAGACTGCCTAGACAATTTCTCCTCCTTGGCTGTCTACGTTTCATTACCTTTTTTATTGCAGAAACATTCTTCGAATAGCGAGAGAAATATAACGAGAAGTGAAGATACCTCTGTACTTGACGCCCTCCTCAAATTCAACTGAGATGTCCTTGTGTGTTCCGGTGACTGAGGGCCAGGTTTACAGGCCACCCAACAATTATCGCAGAGACCGCCTCGCATCGCTTTATTGCTGCAACCACTGGTCGTTACACTGATAAGTTTATTTCCAAGCAACCATGTCATTGACTGGCCTTCTTTAAGAAGAAAGTCAGCAGTTGAAAGTCTGTGCAGCGTGAAAAATGAAAGGTGAACACAGTGTAGAAAAGTTCCTTATTAAAAATAAATATGCAGAACTCATGAGTTTACCTTTTAGGCCGAGCCGAGTATGTTGAGAATGTATATCGAGCCATCAAATCGATACAAGTTTCGGTAAGCTCAACGTGAAAAGTCATTAAAGCCTCGTCGATGGGTGGTTTCAAATCCGATACTTTACTTTCGCCTATCATGCGATTCGACATTATTGGTCTTTCCCTTCGACCTCTACTACCCTATATGTAAGAACGACACAGTAGCGAATGTATTAAGATAAAAGTAGGTTACAATAAAATTGTGTTCATTCGTGCACACCTGTTCCGTTAAACTCGAGCTACGTTTTCTATTTGATGAGTCTTCGTTTATGAAGTTAAAATCTGATTTCATTAAATGCCCTTCTTCGAACGGTATTATTACGTTTGCTTTCAAACCCTATATAAAAGAAAATGTATTATTCGTATGATATTAATTAAATTTAACTAGTGATTAATTAGATATTATACAAACTGTGGTAATAAACTTGACAAAATCTCTTCGAAATGGTAATCGACACTTTAGAAACCACACTGCAATCACATGGTGTGCCAAGGAGACCGTATAGTGGTCGTACTTAAATGGGTTTGTATATGGCAGTAAAATAGCGAAAACTGACATATATTGGTCTCCAATGAAGCTCGCGAAAACCTTTGGCAGTCTAGTAAGAGCTGAAAGAATACATATTGACACACGTCTGTGAAAACAGGTGGAAAAGCTTTATACTTACTGGACAAAAACTCCAAGATTGGTATAGCGATGTGTACTGTCGCTGAAATTTTAGACAAATTCAAGAGAACTTCTGATAAAAGTTTGTTCATCGCGTCACGCATTTCCAAAATACAAGTTGTAAGACTAGTAACACATTGACTAGCACATTTCGCAGTTAAACCAACCTGAAATTAAGAAATATATATAATACTTCCATCCGTGTCCTTAGATATCAAATATTACATAATAATTTCGAAAAAATATATTTTGTTTTCTACCTCTAAACATTTTATTAAACGTTGCTGTAAATTAGGATCCAGATGCGCATGATACGAGGCTAACGACGCTAATACTGGAAAAACGTGAACACGAAATTCAGACAGAGTAAATTTCGGAGGAACATTATACAAAGATTCTGGAAGTCGTAAGTTCTTATCACTGACCTATTGAAATAAATTAAATCAATTTTAGCGAACACATTAAGGATACAGAGTAACGTATTTTTTTCCACTGACCATTGAACAAAGTGCAGCAGCGAAACAATCGATATCATTAGTATGCCGTGACAATACCAAGGCTCTATTTTGCATTACTTGCGGTAGCTCTTTTAATACGAGTTGTAAAACTTTCCAATCTACAAACATAAAAGATTTGTTACCTTAACTTTTGTTCGGTTACCTGAAAAGCTGTCGATAAGAATGAATCGAAGAATATAAACCTTTCTCCGATTTAATGCAGGAAATGACGGCTTTACATGCGTGTGCCAATGACATATAAGTAATCTGACAAGATAAATGTGACGGAGCTGGACTTGCTGGCGGAGGGCTACTTCCACCGCCACCGCTATTTATTCGTTCAGTTGCAGCATGTTCTAAAACTAAATACGGACTGAACCTGGTTACAGATGCATTCTGTGCATCTGGAAACCCAAGATGATACAGTGTGTTTGCTCTAATTTTCAAGAAACACTCAAAGATCTGAATAAGATACATTGCATGTAAAATTCATCTAAAGAAACCTTCAAATTTCGAATCAAAGTGTACGAGATTATTTACCAGATATCGAATCGTAGAAACATCGTGGAAGACGGTTGGATCTTTATAATGCTGATCAAGATGATTCACCAAAACCTTATAAGCGCGTATCGCATGGCTCGATGGCAAATTGTAAATTTTCGATGTTAAGATTTTTATTACACCGACAACTGCAGTTTTTACATCTTTAATGTCAGTGTCTTTCGTGATTGGAATATCAGAACAGAAGGGCTTATTGATTAACTAAAAGAAACACTGATCGTTAATTTTTTATTTGTGAGTGTAACATTAGAATCAATATTAATTTGATACAATACCTTCTCCACTATGTCTAGAAGTTCCAGACATCGTTTTGTATCACATTCGAGGCAAAGATCAACAAGTAAGAATGCGACACCATTACGGATCGTAATATCTGAATCTGCATCTATATGTTGAAAATATGGCACAACAATTCTTTCGATCAATTCGTCTTCGTATCTAGACCTATTTAAAAGAAATAAAGTTAAAAGCTACGTAGCTATGTTTATACAACATTTATAATTTATTATACCTATTAACTTGAATGACATTTGTTAAAACTTCGAGGATTTTCATTCTAACAGTCGTACGCGTTTCCAATTTATAATAACGTTCCATTAAACTGGCTAATTTCGGTTGCCATTGATAGTGAGTAGGTCCTATAGTACGTCCCCTATATTCGATTAATTTTAAAACAGATGCTTCCTGAAAAGAGACATTCAATTTTATGTGTATCTTTTCGTGTGTACAACTGTTTTATAAGTATAATAATTACAGGTCGTGTATCACTGCACCGTTCAACAAGATCGTAAAATCGTTGAACACAACCATTATAATGGTTGTTATCCAATAAATTTTCGATGGTATTTATCGTTTCATGTAAACTCACTGAAACTTGTCTAGATGCGAGTTGATTACTGGTCTCTATAAGAAAAACAAAGAAAATGAAACGAAAACATTATGTAGTTCACATAAAAATGCGAATTTATGAATTTCACATTTTACCCGTGTGAGAAATAACTTCCTCTATGATGTCAAGAATAATGCTCCATGTGGGATCCCATAATTCAGCACCGTATTTGGTCACTAATCTCTGAATGGACAGTGTCACTTCGTACATGACAATAGGGTGATTACATTTTAAAGCCTGTTGAATAAGAAAATAGACAATACTTTACAGATAATAATGTTAAACGCACTTTGTAACTTACTTGGAAAAATGAAGGTAAAACCGATGTAGGAGTACACTCCAGTTTTGGAATTTTATGTGTACCCCAGAGACCCATATTTACATAAAACACGGCACCCCTGAGTAAACGTACGTCTCGCTGAAAATTGGCATCTTGTAATAAACGACACATTGTATACAATGCAGAATGACCCATGTGTGTTCCTAACAGATTACGCATTATCTGAAATATTTAATTGTATGTAAATGTTGCATGTTACTTTTTCATGATTACATACAATTTTGCATTCAAATTTTTATACAGTTTTCTACCATACCTTCCAACTTATTTGACAATATGTTTCGACATTTACGCTTCCACACAAAGCTATGATAAAAGTTTGTAATGAGTCAGAGTGCAAATTACTGTAGCATACAATTGCATCTAAAGCTTCTAGACACCCGGAAACAACTTCAGTGCTATTGCTATAATAACAGAGATGACAAATGTACCTAAAAGTATAAAAAATATAGAATATTTCTTGTTACAACTATAAATTAGTATCATAATTGTTCTGGAAAAATTTTTGAACATTTACTGGACAAGTCCTGATATAATGTCATCGTCTATGTATGCTGAATTGAATTTTATGACATTAACAAGAAGAGACAAGAACTCAGCACCCCTCTTCGCATCTCCTGCTGTTACAATAGGCATCCATTCTAATAGAAATGGTCCCATTCTTTCTTCCAAATGTAATATATCTTTCCCATTTTCTGTTAAACTTTGTAAAAGCTCCAATCTAAAATAAAATAGTACAAATGTAACAGTACTAATACTTATTACATTGATAATGCCTATTAATATCAAAATACCTAGGTCCAATGTCTTCCGGAATATTGTGTTCTTTGACAACCACAAAAAATTTTACTCTCATAAGAGAAGATAGTTTGGAATATTGGCCTTGGACAAGACATCGTAAAAAATTCAATGTTACATGTCTATGCTCACGAGGTACATCTTTGCCTAAAAGATCTTGTACCAAATACCATAATCTTTCAGCTGCTGTCTAAAAGATGTTTAATAAAAGTTTACTTGTATCCTGTGTAATTTTTTCTACCATCCTTCTATCAACAAATTTATTATTGAAAACCATCTACCTACATCTTCCCACTGCTGATTAAGAACTGCATCGCAAAGGTCTTTAATCGCTTTTGTACGATGGTGTACAGGACTTTCAGGGCTGATTTCTTTCTCAAGATCAGTGGTTAACGTAAAATCTTCACGACTTTTATAGTTTCCTAAAATGAATATCGTATTGATGAGATATTTCTGCTTACTTTTCATAGAAAAAGAAAAACATATTCTGATCATTGCCAATACGGTTTATGGTTTCAAATAAGAGTACTATTTACTGCAGTGTACAAAATCACCTTTGTTAATACGAAAAAATTGTTTCAGTTTATCATGTAAGGTTTTGTTATCTTTGTCTTTCGAGCTCATTTTCGACATTTTATTTTAACAGCTAAAAGGAAACACTGGATCGTAGCCGGAATGATTTGCGTCCACCAATGTTAGACATATCAAATATAAATCTGGCTTGGAGAACGTTAATGAAACGTATTACGTGAAAACAATAGGTATACCGGAATACCAAACACCAATCAGCTGTAATCGGTGACCATGAAAAGTCACTATAGAAGACTGTCGATATCTTTACAGTCAATACAGTATGGCGAATTTTCAAGATTATTTTTCTTTTCGTTAATTAAAAATTAGACTGGATACAAAGAAAATCAAACTTTTTTTGTAAAAATGAGGGGATATTGGGAATATTCTTCGGAAGGAGAGTATTCATTTGTTTTCCGATCTGCATTTCGAAAATTGATTCAATTAAATATAATGGAAACGATACCTGAATGTCGTTTTTTATCTACTTCACATGGCGGGAAATTCAAATGAACCGAATATGTACCTATAAACAATAATTAATTCCAATTGAGATAAATCAATATAATTTTTGTATAACTTATAAAAAGACAAATTGAATACTATGTGTTATACCTTATAGAATTGTATTTGTACATACATTCAATCTTTTACAATGTAATCATAATACTTTTGTTCATTATACAGTTTTGTTTGCAGACATTCTGATGTGAACACGTTTTTTAAAATATTACATGTGTATACTAGTATTTGTACAATTACAAAGATTTTAAACTAATTAACATTCCTTTAAAAATGTCAAAATTATTACGGTACTTGTAGTTGAAGTAATCTTGATGGTTATGAAACCTTTTACTTTGTTCAAATAAATTGATACAGTCTATTACTGTTTCCCTTTGCATTTCAAGTTCAAAATGAAATATATCAATCACTTTATATACTATTAAAATGACAATTTTATGAATATATATAAAAATTAATATAAAATTGGAAATTGCCTTTTGCACTTCCAAGAATTTTCTTATAAAATAATCTTATTGTATTATTCATATGGTTCAAACGTTATTTTAATGAATTAAATTTTTTATTATATAATTTTCACTTGACGTAAATATAAAAATTAACCTTTAAATTGACTGATTCAAAATCCAATAATATAACTTTTTATTCATAACGTACTGCGTAAAAACGAAATCTCTGTTTATTGACGGTATTAATCTAAAAAGTAATATGATAAAAAATACGTATGTATGAAAAATATGGAAACGATCATGAACGAAATTGTGGGGAAATTATTTGATTTAGTAAACATGTCGATATATATTTCAATGTTTATTTATAATATCGATCGTTTTTCGAATTTAAATGCTACAAAAACAAGGAACTTTGTAAAAGTTTTGAAATACTACGTTCCACAAGTTTCCAATGTTTTAGGTTATACAAATTGTTATGGAGACTGTTTTCAGGCGTTGCGTCTAATAAAACGTACCCCAATTAATAAAATGATAATAAACAGAATGAATGACATATCTGAACGTTTGAAAATATGAGGTTTTTGATCCACATTGAACTTCACGGATTCAACAGATGTTAACATTCTGGTTTGCGATAAATTAAAAAAGAATAGTTATGCACTCAACAAAACTACGAGTACATACCTTACTATTTCGTTTATACGAAATTATTATCATTCAAAATACTCGTGTACCTATTCTACATTTGATTAATTAAAGTCTAATTCGATTTATAATGGATATTTAAACAAAAAAAATGATTTATCATATATGAAAATTACCACAGAAAAACTGTACAGTTACTTTATTTCCCCAGATTGGCAATACAAGTTCGTGTGCCCAACTTCACTTTATTCGTCGCGCATTACAAATTTCTTTGAAAACGCTCAACGCGTTTTCTTATTAATGGAAACATTAGGCGCGCGTTGTAATTAGGAAAATGTAATTTTAACCATTTTCAAGCGATAACAGTTTCAATCGACAATACGAACCAATAGTAAAATTCAAACGCAGATATAGATAAAAAGGAGACAATGTTAAAGCTGACCTTGCTTAAGCTCGATCCCTCAGGGAAATAATGAAAATGAAGAGAAAATCTGAAAATTCGAATAAACGATAAACATGGCACCATGAAAGTTCCGAATTCTATTCGATTGATCTAAGATAGAAGAGGTCGATAGGTAAGATTTTCAAAAGAAAAAAGTTCGCGGACCGTGACAATCGTCTAAAAGAAATAGTCCCTACAAGGATGCGTCCGAAGTGAGCCGCGGACAGTTGGTGTTTAAGCCGAGCGAGTAGTGGGGATAGAAGGGAGGTGTAGTAATGGTTGGGAGCCTCATCCAACCACGAGAGGAGCTAGTAGCGCTTGCCTCTCGCAGTATGAGGCGGCGTGGGGCTAGGGACGATGCATGGGCTGCGACTAGGAGGCACTTGGGAGGCAGGGAGGGCATGCGAGCGGAGCACAGTTCAGTAGTCGCCATTGCAAGTCCCCCCGTGCTCTCGTATTCGTGACACTCGTACGCGTGGAGCCGATTTTCCGCTAACCTAATCTCCCCGCGAGGGCCCTAAGTGTGCCCCCCCGATGCAGAGATATTGCACCGAGCTCACCGAAAGATTGTTGAAATCTCTTGACAAGGAATACAATGTAAGTAGCGGAATGAATCCGCGATGCGCCATCCGTCCGCTCACGCAAACGGCTATCGGGCCACTCTCGATCCCCCGTGCGCCGTGTGCCTGTACCAGTGGCGTGCGCGAGAGTCACTAAGAATGTAGTGTAGCGGCGGCTCCGCGTGTGAGTGAGTAATGTGTTTCCTGTGTGTACGTACGATGCCAGTCGGCAAATCTTCTCTATGCACGAATGTGTGCACGCACGTCGAATGTAAACGCGTTTGTCGACTACCCTGGGACATATAACCTTAATCGCAAATGAAAATGTTCGAAACCGAGGAATGATATCGAAACCTCGCCACCCCACGTCCTCTTCGCTCCGTTTATTCTCTTCTTATACGCTCTTTTGTCTCGTTGCAATAACGTTGTCACACTTGACGATAAACTTACACAATTGTCCTTGCACACTCTCCCATACATGTAAGTTATTAATTAACATTAGACGATGCGAACGGTTCTTCTTATTTTCCTTTTTCCCCAATTTTCCTCTCTCTTGATTATTTCGGCGACAAGATCGAGGAGATTTACGGATTTCTCGGTATTTTGGCCCGATCGCCGTTTCCGATCCCCGTTTTAGGGGGTGTTGCGATAAATATTTCCCAGTTTTTATGTGAGTCAGATTTACCGTTTGCCCCATATTTAAAGGATGCCCATGGACACGTGTTGACTATTGCATTTCGTATACGTATTTCGTTTGACGAATATCGTTTCGCGGTCCGCATAGGGACACGCTGATGTATTATTTATCAGAACCGTGCCACTCTTAATTCAACCAGTATGGCTTTTATTGTTGTAGTATTTTCAAAAGTAAATATGTTCCAGTGTTTCATCATAAAATCAATATTATATCCTATACAATTAAAAAGAAGAATCGTTTTCGATGGATTTTTATTGTAAAAACATAACCATTGGGCATCATATGTGTATCACTGGTAGAAAGCTGATCACTTGTTTCAATGAATAGCTGTAGAATGTGATAATATAGAAGCTCACCTGTCAAGAGCCTAGAAGTTTATGTACACCTGTGGAGGTATAACATTTGTCCTCTATTAGCTCAACATGAACAGTTAACATTACCACAAAGTATATGAATTATTGTACAGAAATATGTAAAGTTACATATGCAAATTATTTTCTTGAATAAATCACTCATTCACCATATATTGTTATTATTGATAGTTATCTAAAAATAAACAACACATTGTACTGATACACTATTGAATTACATGGTTCCTTCAGTGTTACATGGCAACAGTTGTAAAAATATTGTACATTCTACATTGTTACAGAACTTCTAACATGTCTGTTACAGTATTAAGAGTTATTTATCTTAAATATACAAGTATTACATAACAAATTTATATTTAACTTGGTGACCATATTTTGTCATTTTTACGTGATTGATATATTGGTGATAATTATATCAATGGAATGGTATAATTTGAAATAACTTGTTTCTTACGAGCGTAATAATATATTAAGAATCTATGGTTAACATAGTATTGAAGAACATTGAAATTTCTAGGTCGTCGATATGGGAGCTGTTGTGGATGTCATTACGGCCCTGGAAAAGACGACGATCACCAAGGAGTTGCTCGAGGTATTAGTTTTTAAATATTGTATCAAGCGTTAGATTGTAACTGTTATTCTTATTTCCACTTATTGATGCGAATCATTCGTATTATTGTAGATTACAAGGCTTGGAAAACACATTAATGAACTTCGACGGAAAACAAATAATGATGCCTTGGCTAAACGTGCAAAGGATTTGGTACGACGTTGGCGAGACATGGTTCTACCGTCTGCTCACTCCACTCCACAACCTACACCAGCTGACACGGCACCACCTGCCCTCAATGGCGCAAAACCACATAGTCCTGCGTTAAGATGTTTTAAACCACAAAGTCCAGCATTAAGAGGTTTAAAACCTCAAAGTCCATTGTTGAGGGATACTACACCTCTTAGAGTGAGTTGTGCAAATTTTACATGCTTAAATTCGTTTAATTTACTATGTATTTATTAGTATGACGTAGCAATGTTAAGAATATAATGCTTCCAGAAGTACTTTGCTATATTGTATATGTTTTATACTGTAATGGATCATCAATGTATTATGTTCATTTAATTATCTTTATTCAACTCCACTAAATGAACAAACTATGTGTAAAGTTTGTGAATGATCCAATTACAGGTGCTTAGCCCAGCTCTATCTGTGCATAGTGAACATTCACATTCTCCTAATGCATCATCAAACAAGCAGTCAATTACAGTGACCAGTAATCATAAAACAAGTTCCGATGTGACTTCTATGCTTGGTTCCTCAAGTCAACATCACACAACGGAAGCAGTGCCACGAACTCACAGTTCAAATAAACGCCTTCGAAAAGAGGATTTAAACGACAAACACAACTGTCAACATCATGATTCAGACTCAGTTACTGAAAGTGAACCCTTTAAAAAGCAACGCCTCAACGGCGAAAATATAAGTGGTAATTTAAATTTGCAAGTGCCTAGCCCCACATTTAAAGAACGAATCTCTGATCATTTCGTGGAGTCCTCCACTGATCCTGACGATTCAGGTCCAAAGAAACGTGGTAGAAAGAAAGGCAGTAAATCTATGAAGAAGCAGCCGATATTAGAGGATCGTGTGAAAGAAAAACTAGCTAGTATCTCAAGAAATCCTAAATTAAAGACAACTCAAGAACTGCTAGCTGACCTGCGGGCACGTGGCACCAACACTAGCATTAATTCAAGTGCTCTACCTAGTCAAAATGAAGAAACGCCCAGCATGGAAGATATTTTGAGAGGCAGCAATGAACAAGTATCCAAGTTCCTTCGTTGTACTCAAAACAATTCGTCGCATAGAAATGCTGTTTCTGAAAGCTTGCCAGAAAGTAGGTTAAAGCCTACGGAAAATTGTCACGATGTATCGTCAAAGTGTCAGGAATCGGGTGTAGTGTATAAAGAAAAATCAGTTACAAATTGTCAAAAGACGCAATCGGAACAGTCCCACGAACTGACAGTCGAGGAAATACTAGCCAAGTTACCACCTATAGATCCAAGTTCAATCGATTGGGGTGAAAGTGAAACAGAATTGACTGAGGATCAGAATAACACAGAGTACCCACCTAGGCAAATTACGGAAGATGATATAAAAAGGTTACACACAGAGTGTGTAGAAGGACTAAATGGAAACTTCCAACCAAAACTATCATCTTTAACTCCTGCTTGTAACGAGAAACAGGATGTAAAGGAGGATGCGTCGTCAGAAATCAATGGTGTAAAGAATGTGTATAGCCGACCTGATGAAGAATTTCGAGAATGGCATCAGATGCTAACAAGGCCCAGTTACAATGGCCAACTCCTTCACATATTGCCTTATGTTATTATTGATTAGTAATTTTATTATCCTATTCTATTACTATTCCCAAACTTGTGAAGAATCCCTGAAAAATATTAAAGAGATTGATCAATGGATCACTCTATTAAACCAATTTTGTATTGCAATTTACGATTGCTCTTTATTTCTATACATGCTCACGTTACTACCACCCTTTATTAATATTATAATTTTTCATTTATTATTCAAATTTGAACTATCATTTTAGCACTTAAATTAATCATGTCGCAAATGACATAATTCATCATCATTACCTTTATTATTATTGTTATTGTTGTTACTATTATTATACTATTATTATCATTATCGTTATCATTATTCATCATTGCGATACAAAGTATTTCGTGTGCAGGACGGGTTCACAAAAAGAAAAAAAAGACAAAAAATAAAACGGTATCCGAGGAAACAAGAATAAAATACGAAGAAGAGGGATATCTGGTATAATGTGTAGCATCATTGCATGTCACACAATAGATCTATATTCAAGTCCAGATGATATTTCCTGAATGCTTCTCTTTTGTTGTGAATATTGTATTAATACCATCATCATTGTCATTGTCATTAACATTAATTAACATTACTACGCTATACGTAGCAAAAAATTCAAGTCAAAATTGTTACGAACGAAGAAAATGAATTGGAGCGTCTCTCAAATTGAATCGTCGCCGATGAAAATAATTGGAGCCCCGCATAAATTACCATTTCTTTTTTAAATGATCCTCAAACCACTGAATGGTACTCGAACCACAGAGTACATGGACATAGAATAAATAATTTTTTCTAAAGATCTACATAACTATTCGTATTAGATTAGAGAATATATACAGGTTTGATTACTTCTTATAAATTATTTAAACGATTTTATTCTTTTGCCAAGGAAAAGAGAAGCACACGACAAGAATTAAATAGCGTACTTTGGCCTATACAAGAAAAGGATTGTTGTTTTGGAAATTCTATCCAAAGTACCATTATATATTTGAAGAAAAAAGTTATACGTAAATTAAGGGTATTCACGATGTTTGCTATAAAATACTATTTGGTTTATCGAAACAAATATTATTTTAGGATAATTCGCAAGGAGTGACGTTGAACGAGAAATTTTTTTAAGATAAATATGGCAAAAAGTTGTATATACCATGTAAAAGTGACGATTTCAAATGCTTATTAACATCATATTTTCTTTATAACTTTAAAAAATATTTATTAAAAGTGGATAGATACTATCAGACTGATAAGTAATTATTTGAACGTGGTAAATGTAGTTGAACCGAATGTAACGGGGCCTTAATTAAAGTTTAAAAGGAAAAGAATGTTTGTCACATAGAGTGTTACGTTGCATACACTTACAGCAAAAGAAACTATTGCACATATTTATAATGAAAAAAGGTTTCATTTAAGTTTCGTTTTATGTATTTTCTAATCATCTTGGGAAAAAGTTTATTTTAACAGAACGAAAGGTTTGTTATGTGCAATGTCCAATGTTCGAACAATCTCAAATATTGTACAATTTCTTAAATTAAATAGAGAAGAGATTTTATGATTTCAAACTGTAAATATATCATTCAAGAATGCAAACACTGGAACCAAAATGTATTAACATGTTTTGTAATAACCAAATAACATTATGTTATGTGAGAAGGAGGAAAACAAATGTACATATTATGCAACTATACTGTGTATAATGAAAGCTTTGTCAAACATTACGAATTAGAAAAGAAAAATCTCTCATTTTATATGTGTTCATTTTTTGATAATAACAATTACCTTTTGTTTGACTTTGTTTAATCATTTTATCATTCGTTTAAGCTTCATACAGAATTTTTACTGAACTTGGAAAATGAGAATCATCTGTTATGATGATGATAATAATAATAATAATAATAATGATGTAAATATAATTTTTATAGTTTCTGATGTTACTTGATAATTATTTCTGCTGATCGAAGACTTTATTTCACAAATATATCATAAGTGGTTTGCTTGAACAAACATTTATGTACCATTGTATTTAATATTAAAATCATGAGTTAATATAATTAAATACTACAACATATTCATATACTTAATTTTTAGTAATTTTCAAATATAGAAAATTTAGTTTGTATATATATATATACGTCTTGTCTTATTTTCAGTTGAAAGACTATTCTATTCGATTTGATTCCAAAGTAATCAGTTATATGATTTAAGAATAGTTTTAAAATACAACAAAAACGATTAAAGATAATAAAACATGTTTCTGCTTCGAAATGAAAAATTCTGTATTATTAGAAACATAATACCATTGCATTGAATGCAATGAAATGATGAGTTAAAAATACTGTTGAGAATTCTAAATGAAGACCCGTGCCTTTTGAACTTCTGCAACTCTATCATAGCTTGATGCTCGAACAACAAATTATGATCATCTAAAACAGAAAGAAGCTGACTATAGTAAAGTAACATTTTAAGAAATATCTGATTTCATTCAGTTGTCATACGATTAAATTATTGTCAAACTAAATAGACCAACCACCTATATTTAATGTCCATTAATAACAACACACAAGGAGTTCATTAATAAACCAAATTTTAATTACCAATATACTCCAGAAATTTATTCCCATTGTCAATAAATCATTTCAACAAAATATCAATTTTGTTGTTTCATAACTAACACTCTCTGAACTCTAAATCATAGATCAGTTTATCAAGAATGTTTTAAGTAATAAAAAGAAAAATAAATAAATATCGAGACCTGCGTAATTTTATTATCTTACAAGTAATATCAATTAATATAATTTATAATAATCGTAATTTGTACGTTTACGATACGAACCCTATCGAAAGCTTGGCTAATTTAATTGAATTCTAAACGACGACAGATATTCGTGGAACAGAGATTTAAAAGCCATGAACTAATTAAAGCTCTGTACAATATAAAATGTTTAAAAATATCGAAATTAAAAAGGACATTATTGCAAACGAAATATCGTTCAAGGAACATGGTATCGTATATTTACGTTCATGTGTATATTTCACGTAGCATAGGCGCCCGCGAGAGGGTGGTATCGTAATAGCGACTGCGCAATCAATCGAAATAGCGTGAGTCCACGCACACATGCAAATGTATAACTGTGTACACACGAGGTGGGGACACTTTCGTGCTATCTCTCTCGCACCATTTATTACTACGGTTTTCAGCGAGTCCTTGCGTATGAGACTTACAATACTAGTTGGTGCTTAGGCGGTGAACAGTCGCGTTACCAAGAAAATACGAACACCCGATGTATTCGACGTTGTTGCCCGTTAAAAAATATCGTCGTCCCCGCGGCCGCATGTGAACGCGCCTCGATTTTCTAATTTTTCCATGATTCGCTGTACGGTTTCGAATATGTGTCAGTGAATGTTTATTATAAATTTTCCCGACTCCGTTAGCCATACCAAAAATGTCGAAACCCGGTGACAAACAAACCTACGCGCAGACATATAAACTGGTAGTCGTGGGTGGGGGTGGTGTCGGAAAATCTGCAATCACGATACAATTCATTCAAGTAAGTACTTTTTATAGCCAATAGATGCGCCTAATATGCATGTGAGAATGTGTGTTCAATATTGTATACACATGTTGCGTGTGTGTTACGTACCCACACGCGCATGCACACGTACACACATGTAGGCTGTATAACCTAACATAAAAGTGTATACGTGTGGGTAGGTACACGTACGTAATATGCGGATTTTTCATTAACTTGTGCGCATTTATGAAAAATTATGAATGAAATTTCTTTGTAGGGATTTACGTTGTTCAAGACCAACTTGACCGAAGAAATGAAAATTTGCTCGTGGTTCGTTAGTTTATTCAAATCTTTTGACCAATTTTAGAAATTTCCTCAAGTATCGAGACCGTGACGCTTCTAATACTGATTATGTCATAGAATTCATACATTCGGCTGTTTTTACACGTAGTTGTGCTTGATCCAGTCGGATTGATTTAAATTTAAAATACAGTGTAAATAATACATGCGGTTCTGAATATTGATTTATAAAGGAAATATATTAATGTTTAATATATTTTTTTGTATTGTATCTGGACTTATCATAATTTATATTTTTCAGAGTTACTTTGTGACTGACTATGACCCGACCATTGAGGATTCGTATACGAAGCAATGCGTTATCGATGATGTACCTGCGAAACTTGACAGTGAGTATATTAAAGAAATAGGTGTGTTATGCATAAATTATTATTTCAACTTTGTTTTGTCGATTGTAGTAACTTTTGTAACTTATTCAATTTTATATTGATTTTCATGCAGTTCCATAATGAAACGGGTTTGTTATCGTAAGATTATAATTCCTTATTTATTAGAATCAGATACTTAGTTGAAATGAAATTAAAGTAGACAAATTTTATATGTTTGAAACAATGTACACAACAAATATGTAATAATTTTAGTACTATAATTAACAGTAATTAATAATGATTACATAATTTTGTAGTATTGGACACAGCAGGTCAAGAAGAATTTAGTGCAATGCGTGAACAATACATGAGGAGCGGCGAAGGTTTCCTTCTTGTGTTTTCAGTAACCGATCATTCGTCCTTTGATGAAATGTTGAAATTCCATAAGCAGATCTTAAGAGTAAAAGACCGTGATGAGTTTCCAATGCTCATGGTTGGCAACAAAGCTGACTTGGATCATCAGAGAATTGTATGTACACAAAATGTGAACAACAAATATGTGTATATAAACTGTATAGTATGCTAATTGTATTGGTTCTTTTTTAGGTCTCTGTTGAAGAAGCACAAAATATGGCTCGCCAATTAAAAATTCCCTACATTGAGTGTAGCGCGAAATTAAGAATGAACGTTGATCAAGCTTTTCACGAATTAGTAAGAATCGTCAGGAAATTTCAATTGTCCGAGAGGCCACCGTTAAAAACAAATTACAAGAAAAACAAAAAGAAGTGCTGCATGCTGTAATTGCCAATGTGTTCATAATCAACGAGATGATATAATTGAATCAAAATGGGATCGTAATTAC